TTGTGATTGTGTTTGTGGTTTGTCTGTTTTTGGTAGTGTTTTGTGTTTCTGTATTGTGGTTTAGCTTTGTTGGTTGTGTGTTGCGTGTTGAGGTCCGGTAGTGCCCACTGCATTCTGGCGCTTGCGGTCGGGGTCCAGCAGTGCCCACTGCGATCTGGCCCTTGCGATTGAGGTGCGGCAGTGTCCACTACGGTCTGGCGCTTGTGGTGGAAGTCCGGCAGTACTACAAACTGGCCCTTGCGGCTTGCGGTTGAGGTCCGGCGTTACCCCCTGCAATCTGGCACTTGCTGTTGAGGTCTGGTAGCGCCCACTGCGATCTGGCACTTGCGGTTGACAACTGCGATCTGGCACTTGCTGTTGGGGTGCGGTAGTCACCTGGCAGGTGGGAAAACTTTTCCAAATCATTCACAACCTCTGAATGGTGTACTGGGGCCGGTCCAAGGTGGTTGTTGAAATCAGGTGTGTTTATTGATTTTGTGTCTTTCGTTCTGCTATGTCTCATCCTTTAGATCTTTGCTGAGACTACTACTACTACTACCACTACCACCACCACTACTGCGGGGACTGTGAGAATGCAGTTTTCTTGGCTTCATTTGTTGCTCAAGGTGTGAACTCTTCACTGACTGGACAGTCAAAGCCCCAAGCTTCCAACAGCCATTAGTTTAATAGGCCTTACCAAATCAACTGAGACTTCACACTACAAAAGCCAGGTCAACCATTCCTTAAATGGTCTTGGAAGTCTAGGGAAAATGCTTTTGCTGTGACTCAAGGGCAGCTCATGGAAGATTCTAATTTGCAATTAGTGTTGTTTTTTCTAATGCGTTCCCTATTGATAATACTTCTTTTTTTGGTGAGTTTGAACTTACTTGTTTTGAGAATTCTCTTTCAAATCTTTTTCAGACTGTTTCATTCAATTTTTTGGAACTATTGCTTGTTTAAGTCTAAAATGATCCAAATTGCATGCGTATCATATTTAGATCTAATTCCATTGTTTTTCTCAAAAGCTTCATATTCAAGCTATCTTTAATAAGCGGCGCCGCCTCTCTACAATTAACTAGCACTGTTTAAGAGTTGAATTCAAGCCGAATTACGATGAAATTTGCATTGAATCATCATGAAATTAGAATTCAATTTGCATTGAACTAGCAATAAATCAGAATCAACTTGGAACTCAAACAGAATTCACTTAGGATTGTAAATATCATGTTTGAAGTGTACATATGTAAAACAAATAAATTTACAACTCAACTATGTTTGAATAAACATAGAACTAAATTGAAAAAGACTTGAGCAAACATCAATAGTTAGAATTACGTTTGAGTTAGCTACCCCGGCAAGAGGCCCCAAACAAGGTCTAGGGGTCTAGACGTATTGGGTCCAGAGAGGTGGTGGTGGTGATGAAGGTCGGGATCGTGGTGATGGTGGCGGTGGTGAGTGAGTGAGTGAGTGAGTGTGACTGTGAGTGAGAGTGAGAGTGAGAGTGAGAGTCAGAGTGAGTGAGCGTGTGTGTGAGTGAGAGTGAGTATGAGTGAGTGAGTGTGAGCGTGAGCCAGAGTGTGTGAGTGCGTCTTGTACCATCTTCTGCGCCTGCCAAGATCTGTACTTCGAGGTTCACAAAGTGCTGCGCCTGCCACGAACTCTGCACTTTGAGGTTCACCAAACGCTGCCCCTCCCACGAAATTTGCACTCTGAGGTTCACAAAGCGCTGTGCTTGCCACGAAATCTGCACACGAGCCACATGTCCAAAAGTCAAGTCAAGATTCACCGCACCTGTTTGAAATCAAAGTACCTCAAAGATCACCACCATGTCCAAAGTGCTGCGCCTGCCACGATCTCGCATTTTGAAGTAAAACCGCTCCGATCCCTTGTGGTCCAAAACACGAGGTTTCCATTGCGCCTGCCACGAAAAGTGACCGCCATGTCCGAAAATGCGCGCGGCTCCACAACGAGAGCACAGTCGCGAGAAGCACCTGCTCCAGCCAAGTACTGCAAATAGCAGGCGAATTAGCCGCACACGCCCGCGCAACAGCTCTGATTAGACACCGGTGCTTAACTACTACCGTAAGAACCCCTAATGTGCCCACACTGTGTGGGAAATTAACAATTCCTTTCACTAGCATAGGAATATATCAAAGTTAGGTTGGACTCATTTGATTTTTGATTTGGTTAAAAGCATTCTGTTTAAATTAGAACTCGGTTAGAATTGAAATCAAGACTGGCTTAGACTTAGAAATTGATTAGAGCCAAATTAAAACAAATCAAAAATACAATTAGGGCAGAACTAATTTGGAAATGAGTTTCAATTGAATTTGAACTCAAACAAGATTAAAGTAGAATTAAATTTGGCTCAGAAGCTAATTAGATTCACATCGGAATTAATTGAGTACTAAATTTGGTTTGAAGTAGACTTATATTTGATTTACTTCAAGTTGAAATAAATTAAATTCGGACGACTAAATTCGAATTGAATCAGAACCAGGTTAGATTTCATTGAGGATTAAACTGGAAATAGCTGGCTTAAGTTAAAGCAATATGCCCAAGTCTGTCAATTTGTGGACAAAAAGGCTAGAACTAAGTGCCCAAGTCATGAAGTAGAATGCTATTAGTCAGTCAGGATAATCCCAGATGATTAATCTGGATCAGAATTAAAACCCTCCGCAAAAAGAAAACATGCAAAAAAACAACAATTACTTTACTTCGAGTGATCCCAACCATGACATTTCAATCTTTTGCTTTCATGCATGTTGCCATGGTCGTGAGTTTTGTGAGGTTTTCCATTTTGCTTGTGGGCACTCGGGTTTGGGATTGCTATTTTAGTGTTAGGAAGTTTGCGTCGGGGCTAGTTGGCGTCCAAAAGGGCTACCCTGTGACGACCTGCCACGCAAAATGCCAAACACACAAGCAAACATATTGTTGTTACGTTTGAGTGTTGTGGTTGTGTGTCGTGGTTGTGTGATGTGATTGTGTGGCGGTTGTGTGTTTGTGGTTGCGCTTGTGGTTTCTGTGTTTGTGGTTGTGTGTTGTGTGTGTGTGTTGTGGCTTCTGTGTTTGTTGTGCTTGTGGTTCCTGTGTTTGTGGTTGTGCGTTGCGGTTGTGTGTTTGTGGTTGTGTGTTTGTCCTTGTGGTCGTGTTTGTGGTTGTGTGCTAGTGATTGTGTGTTTGTGGTTGTGTTTGTGGCTGTGTGTTTGTGGTTGTGCTTGTGTGTTTGTGATTGTCTTCGTGGTTTGTCTGCTTGCGGTTGCGTTTTGCGTTTGTGTCTGGTGGTTGTACTTTGTTGGTTGTGTATTGTGTATTGCGTGCTTGTGGTTGTGTTGAGGTCCGGTAGTGTGCACTGTGATCTGGCAGTTGCGGTTGAGGTTGGCGAGCCGGAGCTCGCGGAGGTCCGGCGGGGAACGCTGCCACCCTGCACTTGACGGGTGGGGAAGCACAAAGCAAATTCATCCAGTACTGACTATTTACTACTGCTACTTACTACTTCTGCTGCTCCTCCTCCTCCTCCTCTCCTACTCCTAGTGCTACTACTGCTGCTGTTGCTACTACTACTGCTACTGCTACTGCTACTCGTGCTTGAGAAGGGCTCGTAAGAGAGAGAATACTCTGTTCTGTTCCAGCGCCAGTCATAACGAATGACCCACAATGCAGGGGATTGTGTGCTGAGAAACTCTAGAGCAACATGTTCTTCTTTAGGCTAGCTCCAATCATATCACTCGAATGATGCTTGCGACTTGCGACGCGAGGGGTGGGGGTGAAGAGTGACAACAGCGCGCGCGCTGTGGAGCACAGGCTGTGCTAATAGAGTCTGGGGACAAGCACACACAACAGCAGGCAACAAATTCATAACACACCCCATACACAGAGCATAGTGTTGCTTTTAATCCTGGTTTCAAGGCACAGGCAAGTCCAGCAGAAGCACGGTACAACATGGTACAACAAAGTGACCATGGTGCCACACAGTCCTGAAGGCCAGTATAAAAGTCCATGGCCATTGCAGTCTCACAGCTTAAAAGTATAGCAGGAGTCTCATCTTAAGAACTCCTACATCTCGGAAGATGCTCGGCTGGAGAACTATACATTCAGCAACAGCGAGGCTGTAGTGACTCGGCTCTCTTAGTCCTACGCCGTACTACTTCAAAAGAAGGTAAATCAATTCCAAAGCATGGGACGTTGTCTTCCGCGGCTGGGCCCTACACAGAGAGTTGCGCGAGTGAGTGAGTGAGTGAGTGAGGTACGTAGCTGGCGCAGGTTGCTGCTAGAGTGTTTATTCTTCGAGCGATCCCTTGAGCCAGAAGGAAAGCAGTAAACATCAGCGCGCGCACACAACAGCAAGCGCAATTCATAAACAACTTCCAGAACAAAGCACCGTGACGCCACCTTCTTCCTTTCGAGGCAAAAGTCAAGCCCAGCAAGTCTAAATACAAACACAAGTACCACGGTGCCATATACCTACAAGTCCAGTTTGCTCCACACTATAGACAAGTAGTCTCTTAGCATAAAAATACAGAAGGGGAGCTTAGCTTACTCACCCTTGGCCCTTATGTCAAAAGATAGTTGACACTCGGCTGACTGTACAGTCTGCTGGTGAAGATAGCACGTGTCGGCGCTCAGCTGGTCTGTGTAAGCAAGACCACAAAAGAAACTTATATATACTTATATAACTTCATGCATTGCGGCTGGCTGTAATTCGAAGACCAATAAAAGAACAAACGACCACGCTCACAGAAGAACTAAGTCCACTTTCAACTGCATCGAATTAAAATACCTTGCAACATGCAAGGAGCAAAAGGCACGGGTTAGTGGTTTTTCACGGTAGTGGTCTCGGCCGCAATTACTTGCAGGATCTTACATATCAAAAGAAACACGCGTATCAAAGGGACCAAACTTTTAAAAACAAAAGCAGGAAGCTCAGAGAACACCAGCAAAAGCGACTGTACACGATCACAATCTATGCAGCTGAGGCTACCTCTTGACGAAAAGTGCAAGCGCCTCGAAAACCGAGTCTCTTCACCATCTTGCACAAGGACTCGTGCTTCCCACAGCAAGCTTCGGGGGGAAGTACGCCCCGCAACCGCTCATACAGGTCCGTGCAGAGCAAGATTGCTCTTTGACCTTGGGGAGCCAACATTCTTATGGCCATCAGAAAAGATCAACATTTCGGCGGTATGTGGATGTTGGATTTGGGCTCCAACCTAGTTTCTTGATTTTTACTTAAACGAAACAAACTATATAGAACATACTACCCGAGGATCCTGGCAACTGGACTTGAAGATGGTCTTCCCCTACGAGCGCCCAAGGAAAGCTTAACTGTCTTTATATAAACATGCTCAATACAAACTTGTACATACACATATGCATATATATATATATAACCAATTGTTTATATGGAGGAATATACTGTCTACACAGCACATTACGGTGACCACCAAGACACCCGTTACCCCCCCATGGTTTGCAGACTTCGGCACATGAGCCATCATCAGCTCCATGGCTGGAAAGTCCTCACCGCAGCCCACACACGCGAAGCGCCAGGGCTCAAGACCCCCGCTGAAGAAGCTGGGTCCAAAGCGGGCCTGGAAACGGTCGAAGAACTGGAGCACGTCCTCGCTGACATGAAGTTGGTCGAGAGAAGGAACGTGGCAAGGAAAACGAAGCAGTGGTCTTTTTCGGGTTGCAGCTTTGAACGGGACCAGGAACGGAGGATGGTGTAGCAATGTTCAATGTTGCATCATATTCTGTGACAGAAACATAGATGTATAATATATTCATAATCATACAATTGTATATATATATATAACTATGATTACAGTAACTATGTATGTATAATATAAACCCCTGTGGAATTACCGGTGAATGTTGGGAATCGATTCTATAGTGACAAAACGAAAAACCAACCTCAAAGGGCAGTTTGAACCCACTGAGAATAAAGTATCAACCTCCTGCAGTGCTGAGAACCTGCTCTCTACAAAATGGTTCAGCTCAACCTGATGGCCAAAATGTCTTTCTCCTCATTAAAGCTCGATGGCAAAATTTGGGAACATTAATGATGCAAAGCCAAGGTTGAAATTGATTCTATCGAGAAGTGGGGGACATATTAAGGTTGAAGTTGATTTTGGAAAACGCTTGGACAAAAGTTGCCCAAGAGGTTGGCTTCGATTTATAAAGACATGTCTGGGCACTGCAGGGTTGAAATTGATTTTTGAAGAAGGTTAAGCTTTAAGCAGAAATGAATGCAACAACAGTCCATCTTTAAAATTAATGAATTAGTTTATAGTTTATAAAGTTTTATGCAGGGGTGATTGGACAATTGAAATCTAGATCCCGACACTCACCGGAAATCGCACAGAGGATGATTGAATGATTCGGAATACAAATGCATAAAACAAAGCTAGAACCTTCATGCCTCCTCTATAAAACGGACTAGCTCAACCTATTGGGCATCAGCCAAACTGACCCAGTGGCGGCCCATCTTTTAAGGCCATTTTTTCCCAGGTAGGTTGAGATTTCATTCTATAGAACACGTGTCTATAAAATCTGAGGGTCATTTTTTTCGGCGGGGGATTGTAATTATTATATATATATATATATATTAGATTGAAATTAGATTGCAGTTTATGACACATCCATGCGTCTCGATTGAAACACATCAACGGAAACATCATCTCTTCAAGATTATTTCACAACTTTCGCAACTTTCGCATCAGCATCCTTTCACCATCCGCCGCCTAGCTCACCTGGCAACCTTCGACTGGTCCCAGCTCGCACGCGTCCTGTTTGGGCCCGCTGATGGTCCAAGGATTCTGGCGGGTGTCTTCCCGGATGTCCAGGCCCTCCTGGAGGGAAGACCATCGTTTGAGGTCATGCTTTCTAGAGAACAAACAATTATATAGCAACGTTGGTTCCGAGATATGGATTTACATGGTCTTTCTTCATCCAACTTGGACCTGGAGTCGCTATCTAAGCTGCAAGCAACGTTTCTTAAGCAATGCCTTCGTAGGAAATCTGCCACCAAACAAACACATGGCTGGTGTTCCTCAAAAACACCCCCACTCCGCACAACAAAAACGGGTTCCTTCAAGGCTTTGATGTTGGCGCCGCCTTTCCCGATCATCAGCCCCACTCTGGAAGGATCCACTGGGATGGAAGCCACGGTGTATCCTACGTCCGAACGATGTTTGTTCCAGCGAGGTCAGACATTCCAATGAACCAACAGAAACACACCTACAAAGAATCTTGATATATCTTGATATATTTTATTATTATCTTGATACAGTATGTAAAGATATCATGAACTGCAGTTCTATTCTAACATTTTCCGCCTATGTTTCTTCAGATTGGTGCATATTTTGGAGATGAGTCGGATCCAACTACCGACCTGCAACCGGCTAAGGGGGGTTCGAGGCCCTAGGCAATTTGGGATCAAGCTAAAGCAAACAAAAACAGCATCAGCATCTGCGTTACGAATCCTTGGGCGCAACTAGCTAATGCTAAAGTCTCACTCCAAGCGTCTCCGTAAGCGAACTGAAATCTCTTCAGATACTGCCACACAGTCTTGAAGACTTCCAGTGATGAAACAATCCGACCACGCGTGACACGGAGAATCATTGATCTGGACATGCACATCGCGTTCTCCCTTGAGGGAGCGCATGTGTATTCCATTCTTCCCCACTATAAAGTCGCTCACCAACTGCTTGATGACTTTCAGCTTGACCATGCCAAACTTCACATAAATCAGCTCGTCAAGAAGTTCCTGGACAGGCTCGCATCCCAGCCGTCTGTCCATGCTCCCTCTCAAACATAATGCTCCAAAACCGTAATTAGTTTTGAAAGTTGGGCGGTGGGATGCTGCTCTGCGAACGTCACCACTCTTGTCTATTAGCACCAAATTCTTGACAACTACCATCCCAATAGCTCCCAACACCTTGTCACCCACCGAGACACTTCCGCATAGTCCACCTGCCGCTGGTTGCCTCGTACCTTCACCGTGGGTGTGCCGTCGCGCGGGAGCTGGAGCCGCGCCTGCGAGGGACAAGATGCGGTGAGCTAGTCGTCCATCTATGGCAGGTGTAGCTTCGGAGTAGCTTTCTATGGCGATATCTAGCGATGATGTGATGGGCAAACAATGGTCAAATGGCAAGAGTTAAAGGTGGATGCACTCCGGCTGCAAGCCAGGCAAGGGACATGACCTGGTTTGCGCGGTGTCCAAATTTCTACATTATAATCTGATGCTTGCTGAAAGCAGGACTGGTGGATACTGTGGATACTGGTGGTCTCAAATGTGATAGCAATTAGCAAGAAACCCGTCAGTCTTTTCCCATCGCTTTACAAAGCCTATAGTCTGCTTTAGGGCTCCAGGGTGGGCATCCTTCAACATGCACGTTCCACAGCAATCAACAGCACCCTCAAGCTGAGCAAGAGGTTTCGATCCTTCGCATCGGTTGCTCATATCACTGAGTCACGCTGAGCCCCAGTTTCGGGACATTCATCCTGGACCGATCGCGCGAATAGATCCACTGTCCGTTCCAGTTCCTCAGCTCTTCGCCTCGCTCTCAGCGCCCAGTTTGCGGAGCCGCGACGCCACAAAGCCTGGAGCCACGTGCGGTGGCAGCGGCAGCTCTCTCACCACTTGACGATGCTCCTGACAGGCAGCTCTCGAGCTGTGCAGGGAATAGGGGAGGAACATGGAGGAACCGCTTCCAGGTGGATCATGGGAAGCAACAATTTGTGGTTTATGTTTGCTGGTGCTGCTGCAGCGGATAATGATGACGATGATGTTGGTGGTGGATGATGGCTGGAAATATCAATAATCGGGATGCGATCTGATGTCCATGCTTGCTGTTGCAACTCAAGCTTTTTTTTTTTTATCCCTGATTGGCCAAGGGGCCAAAACCAACGGTCTCTGAGCCAACAAGACTAAAGGGGTGCGCTATTTTCATGGCGCAATTTCATAGGTTCATAGTTTGGGAACACGACAAGCATGTCATGCCCTCATGTCAAATGGGTGGTATTGGGTGCAAATGCACTTTCCAAAGCAGTGCTCGCATTCTTGGACCCCCTGCCATCCCAAGCCCTGCCTGAAGAAAGGCGCGAACACGTCGCAGGACCCGTTCTACTTCGTCAGCAGGCCCGGCCAGGCGCACGCTGGTATCCACATCCTTTCCTTGGGCGACTGGAACTTCCACCCGTGTGCCAAGCGGGGAGGTGAGAAGCTGCAAAGTCCACAAATTCAAAGGATTCCAAAGGGATGTCGTTCAGAAACGAACCGGAGCCGTGGAAAAGTTGCTAGCTGCACTTGCTCATAACCCCTATGCTTTTCGGAGTTGCTGGGCCAATGCGGTCAAAAGTATGCACTCAACCTGCGCTGAGAAAACGCGACGAATCGCTGCATGCGCCATCCTGGAAAATCTTTGAGGCCCAAGCTTCCCACATGAATGTGGACCGACGTGTTGTGTCTGATCTGCTTGATGTTCACACCCTCCTTTCCAATCAGCTTGGAACGAAGAATATTATCGTCAACCTCTCAGAGGGGGTCTTCATGGCAGGCCGTGTTGGGAATGGTGATTGACGCCAGGGACCAACAAGCATCAGTCAAAACAAATTGCAAACGAGCGATTCGATTGCAATGTGTCCTAGATAGGAATTTGCGCAGAATCTTGATCAATAAACCCCTCACATGAAAATTGCTTTACAATCCAAATGGGGGGATCATGATTATTTATTCTGTCTACATTGTATTTTTTGCACTGTACTACGGCCGGATGCACTGCGTTTTTCAGCTATGATTCACTTTTATGGTCCTCTGAAAGGAATCGCCCAACAATCCCAAGCGCCCCGCGGCCGCGCCTGCAATTGCTTGGTAGAGATGTTGTGTCGAAGTTCCTCATATGCTTGTGACATACGTCTTCGCCTTATGTCAAGCAGCGTCCTAAAAGAACTGTTGTCTATCTCTCTGCGGCTTCTTATCAGAGTTGGTTTGTGAAGTTTGTGGATGTTTGTGAGGGATGGATAGTTATTTCCAGGATTTTTTTTTCAGGTTTTTTCCGCGAATTGTTTTCACTTTTTTCCCCTACTGTTTTTGCTTTTGCTTCTGCTGGGAGCAGCAGAAAGGGCAGGGGACGAAGCACCAAAGCCAGCATGACAGTGACAAAGGGAGGGAACAGAAAATGTATTCCACTTACTAGGGACTTCTTTGCGGTTGTCTTTAGCTTCACAGGTTTCGGGTTTCTTTGGGCTCGGTTCCTTGTCTTTAGGGTTCTTTAGGCGTTCTTCCGGAAAAGGCATCTCACTTAACGAAGGAGAAGTAGGAGTGAGGAAAGAGGAGAGAGGAACTATAATAGAGTCTATAATAGGGACTTCTCTGCGGTTGTCTTTGGGTTTCAGTGGTTTCGGGTTTCTTTGGGCTAAGCAAAGCAGAAATCCACCTTTGTGGCAGCATCAACGCAAAGAAAATAGTAGTTGTGGTAACTGTGGTAAGACTCGTAGCGGGGTGGTCCGAGTGATAGAGGTATTGGAAATAGTAGGGGTGGTGGACGGTAGTGGGAACTATAAAAAAAGCGGTGCGGGGGAGGGCGCAGCGCCTCCCCTGCAATGCAAATCAAATATAGACTGCGCTGGGCTGCTTCGTTTCTTGATTGGTGTAATTGGGTGTCAAAGCTCAAGGTGAAGGTCTTATCATCCAACTTTGTGGCGGTGTCAATGCACAGAAAATAGTCAGCAGAAGCAAAGCAGAAGCAAAAGCAAAGGCAGAAGCAAAAAGCAAAAGCAACAGGAAAAGCAAAAAGCAAATGCAAATGCAGAAGCAAAAGCCAAAAGCCAAAAGCCAAAACAAAAAGCAAAAGCAGAAGCAAAAAGCAAAAAACAGTAGGGAAAACAAAAAGACGCGAAAAAAACATTCCAGAAAAAAACTGCAAAAATTACCAGAAAAATAGGGGTTCCGTTTGTGAGTACGCTGAGCCAATATGTCAATTGGACTACAGCGCCTGCACCCTCACGTAATCTAGCCTCATGACCTGATTCCTGGATACAGTACTAAAAAAGTGCATGAATAACAAAAGACACACAAATTTGAGATATTTCCAGCTTTGCGCAAAGCACTCAGCCAGGGGGAGCTCCATCTCATGCTTGGGTTGAACTCAACTCCGCTTCCAAAATTTTTGGTGACCAATTCGCATCCAAACACTTTGGAGTTTCAAACATGTCCTGCCCTGTCAAGCCACTCTGCTGCATTGCCTTTCAATTCCAGCAAGTCCTGAGAACGGTAGGCAAGTCAAAGTTGGGATCTGCTCACCACAGAGGGCACCACCGCTAATTACTAGGCCCACCCTAAAGCCACAACCCGATGGTCTACGAAACTGTGGTTAACAAAACATCCAGTACGTATGTACTAGGGATTGCAAGGAAAAACCAAAGAACTCAGCATTTGGGAATCATCTAAGGAAGACTCCACAAGTACCCGTATATACCCCCGTGAAAACAGTGAAAACTAACACGGATATGCAGGGTTACTAAAGAATCTAAAGACATTCAAAGAAATAACAACTCTGCAAGTTGATGTCCTACTCCAAATGCGGTCGCATGTGTGGATGTCGTCAGTGGCAAAAGTCAGGAAAAGTTGCAGCCAAAGTGGCAGACTTCTCATCCACCTTGTACTTCCCTGGCAGTTTACAATACCATCTGAAGTAACCTGGCGCTTTTTTCGTGCTCTCTGGATGGCCAAGGGGCGCTCTCAACATGACTCTCACCATGACTCTCCGTAAGCTCCATTTTTGCTTTCATCATGACACCTCCATTCCCTCACCTAGCGATGCCCTTCGGCGCCCACAAATCAGGACGCTACTAGGAGCCAAGGGCATCGCTAATTACTAGGAACAAGGGACGCTACTAGGGGCTCCTGGCATCGCACTAGGAGCTTTTGCGCGCATAAATCAATCACTTGCAAATCTCGGTTTAGTTGGTCGCTCTCAACTGTGTTTGACTCCACGCGCACCTCCTGTGTGGTGTGGCAACTGGAGAGACTCCCATTTCTGTGCCAGGTCCTCTGCAAAGTTGTTTTGAAACACACTTGGGTGGCAAAAGTGGCAAAAAGGAACACGTACTGGAACACGTATATACCGCAAAGAAACATGACAAACTCAAAGCATCTTATAGTGACCCCGTCTCTGCGAAGCTCCAATGACAAAATACATCTTGAACACTATCGAAGGATCTCTTTGTGACTTATGTCTTATGGCAGTCCGTGGTGATCCCCGAAAAGGCGAAACCACCCATCTTCAAGAAATATATTAAAATGGCATCTTCGCATTAGGGACACCAAACAGAACGGCAGGCCTGGGCAGTGGAGTCTGTTACAGCATCACTTTTGCATTGCCCTTTAGATCCCTTTAGTTAGGATATAAATGACAACTGGAAGTGCACTCCCAGAGGTGTTTGCCCTCCTGCCAGTATCTCAAGGAATCCCACTCCTCCACCACCTTCTCCGCCAGCCCCTTCACTGCTGCAACCTCCTCAGCATCGCCACCCAGGTGCAGCCATGGACTGCCTCCGGTCGGTGCTTCATGTTCAACACGGCCTCTTTTCAAGATCAATCTGCTCCATGTGCTTTGCATGAAGAGCATATTGCATCAGGGCTGTTCTTCTAGCGATCATGCGTCATGATCAACCTGTTTAGAGAAAGCGGAGCACCGGCAACCACCGAGGTCAAGTACTTTGGGGATATGTCATGCAAAGAAACAGTTCCCGAAGAAAGCGCGAAAATGCACGAAACCATGTCCGGGAAGTGTTTGCTCTAGTCTTTGAAGCATAAATCACAAAACCTGGTTCAATTGGAGATTAGCAGGCATTTCATTCTCGGCAGGACAGCAGGCTATCGAGCTTCTCAAAAGACACTAGTGACATCTAGAGTCGCTACAATCCACTAAGCACTAAGCACTCAGCCATCCAATTCCTCCCCGGTCTTTCTATACTTTGCTGCAGCCCCTCCTGTGGCAACAGAATCGACGTAAGAAAGGTCCACTGTCGGGTAGTCCACATGCCATTGGTGGGAGGAACATCGAACTCCATCCTGCCAGTTGTGCAAGCAAAGTCAGCTGAGGTAGGCAAGATCCTGGAGTGGATGCCATTAGCAGCATCATTAGCCATCATAGACCATAGACGAGAAATAAGAAAGCCAATGAAAAGTGACACGTCAAGCTTCTAAAGAAGCTGAGTCACGGACACAACATTCTCCCCAAACACATCTCCAACATTCTCCAACACAGATTATATAACAAATATTATATAACAACAACATTGTTTAACTATGTTTAACTTCAATTGCTGATGAGATGAGGATAGATGAGTTAACGCATCTAACGCCTTCGCTCGCATATCCACCAAATCAATCGCGTCACCTGAGTTTGGAAGCCCTCCTGCCCGGGTGGCCCCTGAGAAATGCTCGGGTGAGTTTAGCATATCCATTCGTCAATTCCCATTCCAACACACCTATTCTGGAAAACCATGGCTGACTCAAAGGTTGATCTCGCAATCCCACAGCTCGGCTATAAATTAATATATAAAATTATATAAATTGCTAATTGATGCTAATTGCAAGCAATGCTGTCACGAGGCCTACGAAATTCAATAGAAACACCAAGTCACAATGGAGCAATGAAAGGATTCGCTGGTAGCTTTTGATTCCATCCTCCACCTGCTGCGATCTTGACAAAGCTGCTGGAGCAATGATTTTGAAAATTATTCCAATATGTCATTCACATTGCAGAATAATTTTCAGACTTCTGTACCTGATACACCCGTCAACAGCCAGATAGGTTGTGGTTTGCAAAAGTAGTCCAAAAACTATTCTGAATTCAAGGGTAGTACCTTAAACCACTACCTTGCTTACTGTAAATATTGTTCCATCGAACTTATTCTGAAAAATTGTTCCGACAGGTGACATGACCCCTGGAATAATTAATTAGGCCACCCCCTATACAAAATCTATTAAAATCTTTTAAGGGCCTTTCGGCCTCATTTCCGTACAATCCTCTTGGGAGTAGTGCACGGATGGTAATATAAGCACAGGGTTAGTATATAATATATAAACTCACCCAGTTATATATATAGTTGGTGTTGGTGTCTAATCTCTCTGCAAACTCTGCACGCATCTGAACGCTTTCGTGGCCTGGCGCTGAGATCCGGAGATCACCACTTGGTCTTCTTGGATTCGGAGACACGCTCCCTGGTGGTCCCGCACTTCGGACCATTTCATCTTCAAAAAGGACTTGGCCGTTGCAGGCAATGGGACGCTTTCGCTGTGGGCATGGCTCTGGGAGCGCAGCTGGACCAGATGCCCACCACAAATGGAGGTCGCTTTGCGCTCGAAGTCAGCAAGACCGTAGTGTTCCTTTGAGGCAAACCTCTTCACCGGAACCTGAAGACTAACTTTGTCTGCACACATGACCAATGGATAACATGGTCATAGACATCTGAACAAGTAAAAGGAGTGTGCCCTTCCTGACCCTGTTCAATCAATCACGCGGTTTCAATTAATTACCAACATGTACAACCGGGAGGCCAAGTAATGGTCATCGAAGGCCATCAGGAACGAGTACAAGCGACGATTGTCCATGGCCACATGCTTTCCATCATCATCCACCACGTTGATCTTCGGGATCTTGAAAATCACCTGGGCTAGGAGCAAGGACGCTACGAACATAGCTCCTGGCATCGCTACTAGTAACAAAAGGACACTACGAACGTAACATGTTGGGCATCGCTACGGACGGTTGCAACAAATCGCCACAGCAAACGTCGCACCAGAAACGGTGCCTCAAGCAACGGAGGTCTCTCCCATGACTGGTAGACCACCGTTCTTCCTGTTCGAACGGGCGGCTGTGTTGTCGAAAGTCTCTTGAACGCGACCCCAAAATCATGGTCCAAAGAGACGGTTTAACCAGCCATGTCAACCTTTTCTTGGAACCGCGCCATTATCTCCACATATGGGAAGAGCCCAACAAAAAGCGGTATCAAACAATATTATAGCGTCACAATGTCATCACTAGATGTCACTGTGACTGGCTGAAACGTGTCATCCAGGGACTGTGGGATCCCGTCGCAACGCCTCGATTGTCTTCTCGATTGGCCGCCCATCCTGAAAGCGGTCGGCAATGGTCGCCTGCGGACAACGTTGCCGATTAGACAATGAGTAGATAGCATCCACCAATCTTGGCCGAGTGCTGTGCGCCTCCTGAAAACGCTGTGCTCCTTGAAACATTCTTGGGACAATGATAGACTGGGTCTAAATAAGTAATTATGTATCTGAAACGCACAAACCGCATGTGTGAGGCACGTCGTCGTGTTCTGTTATGAAACAAGCAAAAGCAAGTGACAGTGACTAGTTAGCTACAGCAAATCCTTGGAGACAAACACTTGGACAACTCGTGCGCTCTCGCCTGCGAAAACAGGATGTCGCCAATGGCAAGCTTGTCATCTTGATCCGGTTGTTGCTTCCCAGCTCTACCTTTTGCCTGCCGAATCTTTCGTTGACTCCAATGCTGAACGTTCATGAATGTTCTGTCAGTGCATACCTTGTCTAAAACAGTTCCACCAGAATAGCACAAGCTTGCACAAATTCGCTGAGATTAGCCTTGCGAAAGCGTTGAACTTTCCTCCTGATCTAATTAGCTCCGGCTCCGGATATCTTGCAATCAAGGACTTCTACGTTCACGTCACTGCGGTAGCTTTTCAGAGATTGACTTTGTTGTCCTCATTGTATGGATGGTCAGGAGTCTCTCAACTGTCTGTGCAACCATACAATGCGGTACATAGACAGCAAAACGGCTCCAGTTTGTATTGATTGTTATATCTAATGTGTATATAACACATATGCTGGGCGCGGATGACTTAGGCTTCAAGCCCGAAGTGACATAGGACTTGTGGCATACTTGAATAAGACCCATGTTACGGCCCGAAGTGACATAGGACTTGTGGCATACTTGAATAAGACCCATGTTGCGGTGTCCTGTTTGCTCCAAACACGCCCCAAATGGTCTAATGAGATGGGACTTGTGGAAAGGGGGGCTCCATTTCTGTTATTTTCTATCAACAGGCTCATGACTCATGACCTATATGGCTATATGGGTCTTGGATATTCTTTTGGCTCTTCAGCTTTTGCATTATGACATATTATGACTTAGGACTTGGTACTTTCGCTAACTCTTGTGTCCTTAGCGAGCAGATTAGTAACTTCGAAAGTTAGCTAGCTTCAAGATTCTTGGATTTTATTTGTTTTTGTTTTTTCTTTGTTTTTTTTTTAAATCCAGATATGATTTGATTTATGATTTGATTTGGGAGTATGATGTTTCTTTGTTTTTTTTTTGTTTTGTTTTATGGTTTCAAGTTTTTCTTTGAATTGAAGTATGATTATTTTATGATTATTGTTTGTTATTTTTTTGTTCTTTTTTTTGCCTTTTTGGTATTGTTGGTATTGTTTGTTTTTGTTCAATGTTTTTGTTTCAATGGCTTTGTTGTTTGTTTTTTGGATTCCAGCAGACTCTGGATCCCCAAACCTTGCAAAACCCTCGAGAATCTTTGATTTTTTTACGATTGTGTTACAATTTCCATGGTATTTACAATGGTTTTTGAGCCAAATCGTAAAAAAATCAAGTATTCTCGAGGTTTTTGCAAGGTTTTGGAAGACATCAACATTTATACCACACCTTTCTTTGGGCCACAGTCTGCTGGAATCCAAAAACCTTGCAAAACCTCGAGAATCTTTGTTTTTTTTACGATTTGGCCCAAAAACCATTGTAAATACCATGGAAATTGTAACACAATCGTAAAAAAATCAAAGATTCTCGAGGTTTTGCAAGGTTTTTGGATTCCAGCAGACTCTGGCCCAGAGAAAGGTGCCAAACCACTGACTGAGATACAAAATCAAAGAAAAATCAAAGAAAAAACAAACCAATGCCCTAGAATCATACTTTTGTTCGCACTCAAAAGCAAAAACAAAGTGAAAAAAATAAACTCTCGTGGTATTGAGAGCTGGCTGACTCGAAGTCTCTAGAGCAGATGCGAGCAGCACATACAATTCCAAATAGACAAAATATCTATCATTCATCAGATGAATGATATGCTCTCGGCAGCTTGCCGGTGTCTTGCAGCTGGCATTATGAACGTTGTCAGTTGTTGCGTGGGCCCAGCCTTTGTATTCCATTTCTGCCAACAAGCTCCACAATATCCGCTGTAGAAGTTGCTGTCATTCTTCACATACCGCCGGCATGCCGTGCACCACTCAGACACCACCTGCAGCTTGGCCAAGGAATGCATGCAATCCACCAACTCTACACCTGGAAAACTTTTGTAGCAAAACACATTTCGCCTGTCTGGCTCACCTGGCTTTGATACAGCATTCTTCCGTAAAAATCCGCTGCTTGAAGGACCCATCCCAACAAGCCAAGGGAGGACCTTCGCGACTTGATGAGTGGAGCCTACACCACTGATCAACTCTTGGGCTTCGGGCAGGAGGGAAAACCAACCACGCCTCATCCCAGTAAGCGACTGGCATCCCGGCATCCTTCTTCTTGAGCCAGCTGCTAAGCAAACTCCTCTAAATGGTTTCTCACCTTTGGCACGCAAATGGGCTCTAAAACCTGTGGCTGTGATCACTTGGAACTTGATACCAATTGTCTCCACACAAATGGTGTGTCAAATGTCAGGAGCTAAAGAACACTGTTGTCATCGGATGTCATCGGTAGCTGACCCTGTATAAGCATCTCTGTCTGCGTTTGGACTACCTTGTGTTTGTTCATATGCATACATACACAGAGAGAGATAGAGCTGTCCTGTCCTGCACCAACAAAAAATACCAACATTGGATAACATTGGCCTCATGACTGGATGCATGCTTGTGCTGCGGGCTCGTGGGTTCGTCGCGCACATCCAACCCGTCCACACAAGGCACGAATGGGCGCATGGCACTTGTTGTAGTTTCCTAGAACATCTATGGAAACCTAGACGTATATAAACAGGCCTAGTTTGCCAGAGTTGAGCTCTATACAGGCCTACCTACTAGTTTAGCATTGAGATTATCAAAGACCCACTTTAGCAAAGATCGGGCTCAGGTGAAACCTAAGAAATCTAACTCGCCAGGGATCTAGTTTGGCAAAAATCCAGTTTGCGGGAGGTCTATTGAATCAGTAATCAGGATGGTCTAGTTTACCAAAGATCGAGCTTAACAGAGATCTAGTGCACCATCCTACTTTACCATCTAGTGTAGCAGCGACCTACATCACCTTACCAGAGATCTAGTTTAGCATCCACCTCACCGGAGATCTAGCCTACCAGAACAAAATGGTAAAGAGAACTCTTCACCATCTAGTCTGCCAAAGATTTACTTCACCAGAAATCTACATAGTTTGGCAGCAGTCGAGCTAATCTAGAAGCCTATTTAATTTAATCAGGGACCACGGATGAAGAGATCTAGTAATTTAGTTTACCCGGGCTCTGTTTTACTGGAGATCTAGATAGATCTAGTGGTCAAAGATCTAGTTCATGATCTAATGTGCCAAAGGTCTACCTTACCATCTACGTAGTTTGGTAGGAATCAACATGACCATCTAGTTTAGCAGTGGCCTACTTCGTCAGAGCCTCACCAAAGCTTTTGTGCTCCCAATGAATCAACAAATCCAAAAGATCCAGAAACAAACCTCTCAAAGAACAAACCTCACGTTTGTTTTGTTCAAACACATGTCACCCCAAATGAGCAAAAACAGGGCTCCCAGGGCGTCTGGTCCTCATTTTCTTGGGTTGCGCCTATTTTGAGGCGAGCCTTGAAAACACACATCGAAAGAAGTTCCACGTATATAAAAACAATAAATAATGTGCACATGTTACTATTCAAAGATATATAATATAGTATGCCGCCGCAATGCTCTCTCTCTCTCTCGCTCTCTCTTTCTCTCCCTCTCTCTTTAACAGCGGCACTAAACAAGTTCAGCGAAGTGTTTCAATTTCCAGCTCGCTCCGTTGCTTTTGATGACTAGCACCTTCCCAGTCCATCGTCACTGGAGACTCGAGCAACAACCCGCTCCACACCCTCCGGTGTGCGGTGCTGAGGCAGCCAAACAAGAAGCTTGAGCCTTCATAATTATGAAATATTATGTGTATGATTTTTTTAATCACCGGGCTGGAGAAATCTCAGCGCTTCCAAATGTCTAGCACGTCGAAAGAACCACCTTGACAGCCACTTTGAGCCACCAACCAATCCGCAGTTGCAGTGATTTTTAGATCTTAGGGTTTATACACACGCAGCTCATCTTTCCAACCTGACAAAGACCACAACGTGGGCTACGTTTTGGCACCAACATACCCAGGCCTGCCAACTCCTGCGTGTGAGTGTGGCAGATTTCTAAGCTGGCGACACATCCACAAACAGGTGCATCTCTCTCCCATCACCTGGAGACACAGAAACGTGTGGGAGTGTGTGTGCGTGTTTGTGTGCGCGCGCGCTGCACAGCAACACCTCTGCAGGCTCATCAACTGGCGCATTGTAGGCACAAACAATGTCACAATTGTCGTCAGCTTGGAAGAGCAACACCTCCGAATAAACATCCCGAAGGGGCATCTAGAAGACTTGAGCACCTGGAGATTCAGCTGAGACTTGAGTCAAACATCGACCACTCCGTCGCCGTATCAAAGACCATTGGTGGGAAGGCTCTGAACATCTCTGGACAAACCCGCAGAACAGCAAACCTGCACCATTTGTTCTTGCATCTGTGAGCACCATGCTCTCATAGTCATCACTCACCAATCTCCAACCACCACTTCGCCGGCTGAAGGACTCTTCGGGCGAATCCCGCATCATCCCACTCCCTCTCTGTGTTCCCTTCGTCACCTTTTTTTCATACCTCCACCGGCGAGTTCTCCGCCTCCTTCGACGCACCGGAGCTTCGTTCATGGCGCGGAAAGAGACGCGCGCCAGACCGCCCACCCGCTCCGCCGGACGCACGGCACCGCCCCGCGGCGCCGCGGATCCGGCGGAGGGACGTCCAAGTCGGACAGAACTGGAAAGCTACAGCCCCTGGGCGAGCTGGAGAGGGGCTTTACCCAATGTCAGCGTGCAAGCCTTGCTCAAGCTGGTGGGGCCATGTCACCTCCTAAGGGCATAGCTCCTCCTGCAGGGCCAGGGACAAGAAGCCAAAACATCCACAGGGCTTTGGTTTGATGATTTCCACCTCCAACATCTTCTAACAGGATCCAGCAGCAAGTCACCAAGTCCACGGGTCTGGTGGGGTCTGGTGGTTTTTTGTCTTTCATCCAGCAGCAACGGAGAAAAAAACAAATCTGCACTCGAAAGTCCGACAACATGCAGCCGATGTCACACAGCTGAGCTGGTTCCAAAATGCAAAAAAGACTTACAGTACTGTAAAGGCCTGATTGGGAAATCTTCAATTCGCCGCTAAACCACAGTGGTGTCTAAACTTCTCAGTGGGTGTTTGAGATCTGCACTTCACTTGAAACTGATCTTGAGCACAGAACGACTGGCCTGTGTGGGGCTGGTGCTCTTGCCATAGCTTCCATTCCAAAGGTACCTAGGCATACGCAGCAACTGCTCCACCCTGAGGGGCATGTCGTGGTCCTTCAGATTTGGGGCCCCTTCTGGTCCAGATTCTTGGATACCAGGACCAGGGTACGCACCCAAACGCACAAAGGGCACCAGGTGGTGGACATGTTTTGGTTTGGGTATCATTGCAGTTCTCTCTCCCCCTCTCTTTGACGCGCTGCTATTGTGTCTAACTCTTCTCTTCTCGTTTCGGACGGCTCAGGCTTCCCCCCACACCCCCCGGAGCTTCTGAGCCAGTCAGGCTGCTTGCATGTTGATGCGCCGCCAGCGAACTGCACTTGGAACCTCCGCGCAGTTCTTCAGCCTTGCTCGTGCGGGTGGCTGTGGCTGATGATCCAAACAGCGCTCGAAGAAGCGCTTTCTGCCGTTGTCGTCCTGAGAAGTGAGTGGTGATCGAGGCTGGATGGACCAGGAACGAGTGGTTACCTCAATACACCCGCGAGCTGCTAGATGTTGTATGATGTTGTGGTTTGAATCATATGCCCGCGTAGGATGTTGAGAAAGCCCTCTTGGATAATTTAGCAGCCGAGTGCTCGGGCATGCTGGGGCTGCATTCTACTCTACATAAATGCCTTAGTTAACCCGGGTGCCAGGATAGCTCGGCCAACACTTTGTCATGAGTTCTGGCGTGGTTTGGGGAGGAGGCTGTGGAGGGCTCCCTGTTCCGCTCGAAGGCTTCCAAGACTCCGAAAGCAACAGAAATAGAAACTTGACAGCTGTTCCGTAGAATTGGAACACAGTCGCAACCGCTCTGGCTCCCGAGTTTCAGAACTCCAAGCAGTCTTGGCACATCACTGGCATGTATGTCTGAAGGATGTGTACCAAGAATGTAGATAATGTAGTCCGTGGGCAATCCAAACAAAAGGACCCGACATTTGTCGAACATGGAACGTTGGCCAAAACATGCCAAAACCATCGTCCTCTCAAAGCAATCTCTTTTGAGACTGCAGCATGTTGATCAAAGGGAAATCTCCAGTCAACCGTGGAGTGGAGCCCACATTGGAAGCTGGCGGTTCCCCCACGCACACGGCCTCTTACAAGAGTCACATCGATGCGACCCAAAATGGGTGCCAATTACATCAAGTAGGAACAAGTGCATCGCTACTAGTAACAAGTGCCTTACTACTAGGAACAAGAAGCTAGTAGAAACACGGCTTCCTAGTAGCTTCTTGTTCCTAGTAGTAAGGCCAGGAGCCCCTAGTAGGTCCTAGTAGCGATGCCCTTTGTTCCTAGTAGCTTCTTGTCACATCGATGCGACCCAAAATGGGTGCCAATTACATCAAGTAGGAACAAGTGCATCGCTACTAGTAACAAGTGCCTTACTACTAGGAACAAGAAGCTAGTAGAAACACGGCTTCCTAGTAGCTTCTTGTTCCTAGTAGTAAGGCCAGGAGCCCCTAGTAGGTCCTAGTAGCGATGCCCTTTGTTCCTAGTAGCTTCTTGTCACATCGATGCGACCCAAAATGGGTGCCAATTACATCAACACGGGTCACTTGCTGCCCAGCATCCCATCCGCGCATCATCTGGACACGGCCGGAATCCTCAGAGCTGAGGGTGGTTGCAAAGTACATGGCACAAACCTCTAAATGCCACATTGGCGTCCATCTTAAACAACCTCTTCAACAAATAGTCACTGAAACCTCGCCCAAGAAATGATAGGAATAGCCATGGTCTTACCAATGACCCTATACACGACTTATATAGGGATCTGACGGATCAGCACCCCTTGCATCGCGGCATCTAAATGCAGGATGGCTCGTTCCGGTGGTACATGATCATTCTCATGCGGGCCTGTGTCAAATGAGAGATCCACCCAGTTGCTCAAAAAGTGCTGCCTTGAATTTGCAAAAGCAGGTTGAAACAGAATTCATGCAGCCAAAAAATAAAATCATGCAAATGATTAATGTAGGCAACAAAAGAGGTTTTGCATTGCCATAGAACGGCTTGAGTGTAGCAAACTAAGGTGGTGTCAGGAACATAATTCACGACCTTCATCTTACAGTAATATATTATCCTGATCCGAAAACATTTAACATAACACGGTTCTACGCGTCTTGGGCTGACTGCACTGCACTATTATATACAGCATATAATTACCTGCACTGTCCCGTCAAAGAATCCACACACACCGTCGTCGTGTTCCACTCATCGTCGCAGAAAAAGCATTGCAATGGGTCCGGCCGGTCCGGTGTCTGTGATTGAATGGAACACTCTACCTTGGATCCTACACTCACTTGCGAACCGTCCCAAGGTGCCCCAAGGCCGAGCCCTTCCGAAGTGGGGTGTGGAGAGGGATCTCGAACTCCGATCCCAAAGCGTTGCTCGCGACGCGTTCGCCAAGCCTCGGTGATCTGAAAGCGTTGCTTGCGCTGGGCCTTCGGTTGATGGCACGGGTAGAGAATCGGAGGGCCGTTGCCCGCGTCGAAGCAAAAGCCGGTGGACACCTGGATCGCCGTGATGGACACCGGGTGCGGTGCGATGGCGAAGGGATCCAGGGATCATCCACTGGATCATTCATGAGAAACAGGTCATTGCCACGATTGACCACGGCTGCTAACCTTGAAACAGGCTCTTGACAGTGATGAGTTATTAGATGTTATTATCCGCCGACCCCGGCTGAAGGAGGGGGAGCGCGCGAGGGATTACAGGTGCGGGAGCCTTGCGCTTCTTCGTCTCAGCACGAACCTGCAGGCAACAGACGCTTCCACTGCTCGATGCTGCTCGAACACATGCATCACTGGAGCCGCAACCTATTGCGCTTCTTCGTCGCAGCACGAACCTGCAGGCAACAGACGCGGCCACTGCTCCATGCTGCTCGAACACATGCATCAGTGGAACCGCAAGCTACAGCAACA